CATGGGGTATGCCCTGTTGCCTTCTATTAGAGAGTCTCAAACTACCCCTCAGGTGACACGAAGTCCTGCCCCCTCCTCCCTACCAGCCTTACACAGCCAGTAGACCCTAGGGATAGCAGCAGGGTGTAGTGGTAGGTTGATTCATTCTTTCATCTTGCACCCTCAGTTACACCCCTCCTCACTACTGCCAACCTCACTCTCCAACCTTTACCCTGTTTTTTCTCTCTCTATACTTTCCTTGTTCCTATTTTCTCATCCTCTCAATTTAAAAAAAATGAAAATAATGACAATGCTATGGGTATACTCCTTCCCCCAACCTCTATCTTCATAGATTGTAGGAGAAGGATGACTCTGTCTTCCTGGATATTTTTAAGTTGCCACCCACCCAACTAAGTGGGCCCCAATCCTGATTAGTGGTTTTAACCTAGATGATACACGTAGATGAGAATTATAATCTACACCCTTGTTGTGGGAGGGGCCTGTTTCAATCATATGTTTATAAATAACTCAGTTTCTAAAAACACAATTTTTGAATAATTCAATGTGAACAAGACAAAAAAAAGTCAACTGCTGCGATTTCACTCAGTTGTTTATGAATGATTTGGGCAATCATATCCACTACAGTCACACTCCACATTATATATACATTGTTTTCTTTTTCCTAAATAATTGGGCATTCAGAGTATGGTTTCAAGACCAGTTTGTTAAGAGACTAGAAGTACAAGGAAACCAAAAGCAAAAAAGGGATTTGGTCTGACTGTACCACAGAGACTGGTACAAAGAGTGCAAAGCAGACTTTGGCATGCTTCCATCTATTCATGTGAGAAAAAAAAAAATCAGATGGTATCACAGCCACTGGGGGAAAACAAGATGCAAAGAGAAATAAAGAGTCTGCAGGTATAGAAGAGCATGCATATGAACCACAGCCAGGAGCACTAAAACACAAGTGTTACAACTAATATGGCAGTTCACAGTGCGACCTGCAATATTTTTCTTCCCTTTGCTTAGGGATGGTACATTCAGGAAGAAGGCCACAGTATGATTCACTCACTGTCCAAAACACGAGCAAGAAGTTCATAGATTCACAGATGTTAGGGTCAGAAGGGACCTCAGTAGGTCATCAAGTCCGACCCCCTGCCCTGGGCAGGAAAGAGCACTGGGGTCAGACGACCCCAGCTAGGTGCTTCTCCAGTCTCCTCTTGAAGACCCCCAAGGAAGGGGAAAGCACCACCTCCCTTGAACGCTCATTCCAGATTCTGGTAACCCTCAGTGTGAAGAAGTTCCTTCTAATGTCCAACCGAAATCTGTTCTCCGTTAATTTGTGGCCATTGTTCCTAGTTACTCCAGGGGGTGCCCTAGTAAATAGAGCATCTCCTATTCCCTGCTGCCCTCCCCTGATGAATTTATAGGCAGCCACAAGATCACCTGTCAGCCTTCTCTTGCAAAGGCTGAAGAGATTTAGGTCCCTCAGTCTCTCCTTGTATGGCCTTGCCTGCAGGCCTCTAACCATACAAGTGGCCTCCTCTGAACCCTCTCAAGATTCTCCGCATCCCTCTTGAAGTGCAGCACCCAAAACTGGACGCAGTACTCCAACTGCAGCCTGACTAGTGCTGCATAGAGGGGAAGCATCACTTCCCAGGACCTGCTCGTCATGCATCTGCTAATGCACGATAAAATGCAGTTAACTTTGTTGATCACTTAGTCACATTGATGACTCATGGTCATCTTGGAGTCAACTATGACTCCAAGATCCCTTTCCACTGCTGTGCTGCTGAGAAGGTCATCCCCCAGCCTGTAAGTATGTGGGTGGTTCTTTTTGCCCAGGTGCAGCACTTTGCACTTGTCTTTGTTGCACTGCAACCTATTTCGTTCTGCCCATTTTTCCAACCTGGATCCGCTCCCTACCCTCTGGTATGTTAACTCTGCCCCATAATTTGGTATCATATGCAAACTTGAGCGGGGTGCTCTCCACACCCTTGTCCAAGTCACTGATGAAGACACTGAATAGCACCAGTCCAAGGACGAGGCCTTGCAGGACTCCACTGCCCACATCTTTCCAGGTTGAAATTGCTGCGTCCACCACTCCCCCTTTGAGTGCAACCCCAAGCCAATTTGCCACCCACCTGACCATGTAATCATCTACATCACATCCTGTCAGTTTATTTATGAGAACAGAATGCGATACCGTATTGAAGGCTGTCTTAAAGTCTAGGTAGATATCTACCTTGACTCCTGCATCTAAGCATTTTGTTAGCTGGTCATAAAAAGAAACAAGGTTAGTCAGGCAGAATCTACCTGCAATGAATCCGTGCTGATTTTCTTTGAGCATTATTTCCCCTGCTGGGTTCCCACAAATGTGATCCTTAATGATTTTTTCCAGGGTTTTCCTAAGGATAGAGGTGAGACTAACTGACCTATAGTTTCCCAGTTCCTCCTTCCTCCCCTTCTTGAAAATAGAGACCACACTGGCCCTTTTCCAGTCCTCTGTGACCTAACCAGACCACCATAAGTGTTCGAACAGCTGTGCCAGCAGCTCTGCTACAACACTGGCCAATTCCTCCAGCACCCTTGGATGAAGTTCATACGGGCCCACTGAACTGAACGCATCTAGCCCCTCAAAATGCCCCTTCACTAAGTCTGCACTAACAGTTGGTGGGCTGATGTCCCTCCTGTGTCTAGCTATGATCCAAATGGGAGATTTGTCTTGGTGTGTATCTAGGGATGCAAAGATGTTCATCTATAGCATTGATTATGGATAAAAATTGTTTTTCAACCAAGTTTAAGGCTTGTCACTTCTCCTGCATTGAGAAATGAAACCAAAATACATAAGTTTTCTTGTGTAAGAGAAGTACAAGAAATAAACAGAGTTCTCATGCTTTCACAGTGTCAAGGGGAGATTACTAGTTATAGATTCTAAGGGCTGGAACCAATAAAGGACTTTGGTATCTTGTCCCAGACTGGAATCATGCCTCAGATGTGGGTGCATGGAGGCAGTTGGGCTCCTCCAAATGGGTTTCAACAGGCAGCGCATTTAACAGGAAGCTGCCTACCAGCAGCCAGCAGGCATTGCTGGTGATAGTGTGGAGTCTGAATCCTGTCTGGCTTAGGGTTCCAGGAAGATGCCTCTATCTGTTTGCAATCAACTCCCCAGAATCCTCCCCTGAAGGAAAGTGCCTACAACCTATTCTCTCAAAGAATGCCATAATGCTTCTTTTATTTTGCAATGTGGCTGGAGAAGATGGTACTGATCTTGTGTAATATCCCATGGGGTAGAGCACTAGCCCAAGAAGATAGGGACAGCTCTGTCTAGCGACTATTTAATGTAAAATGGAGAAGCAGACCTTGGAGCAGGGGCTGGAAACAATGGAAATCAAGACCTCTCACACCCAGGTGAGCATCCTAACCTCTCAGCTATTGCATCAGAGTCATGTTCACACTTGCTCTGACCTAATGAATCCTCAACTCTCTACAGGATAATGGCACATCTGCAAAAACAGGGAGGGTGCAGAGGGAATTGAACCTAGGTCCTCCACTCTCTGGGTAAAGATATTATATAAGAGGTAGGTTATGTGAGGACATAAGTGAAGGCCCATCCAATTTCTGTACCATACCCAGATTCAGTTTAGGCAGCTGATGCTTAGACTGGGACAGTCTAAGCTTTTCTGGTAGTGCAGATCTTGTTTGCACTACCCAGGCTTACTCAGGGTAATGAAGTCTGTATTTAGCTAAAACAAGCAGTGCTGTGTGCATACATTCAAGCATCAAGAGGGAACTTTGCACAATCCAGACAGCCTGAATTCCAAAAGCAATGTCCAGTTTCCCTATTTTGCCACAGCCAAACAAGGTGCATTATGAGGATTTACTACAACAAAATGAGAGATTAAGGCTAAATGATACACTACTTTTGGCTAATTAGTACCCTCCTCAAGCCAAGGACTTTTTGCTCATCGAGGCTCCAAGCTGCTGCCTCTGATAGGATCATTGTTAAGCCTGAGTTGATGATTTGTTTTAAATTCCAGCCCTTAAGCAAGATGTGGAATTTCCTTTTCTAATTTATTTAAATTAATGAGAAAAGGAAATAATCTTCAAGAGCAGACCTGGGTCTGCGGGCATGGTCTGTTCTTTCCTTTCTCTAATGGGTTCTCTGGGTTAACTTGCTGATTTAAAGAGTGCTGGATTCGATGCCAGCAAGAGAACAGGGCAAAGATAAAATTGTAACATGGGGAAGGCCTAGTCACACTGCTGATGAAAGGGGGAGTGCCTCTAGGCTCACAGATCCCTGGGCAGTAGAGCTTCTTTCTTCTGTCAGCAAAAGAACATCTTGCATCCAACCCAAAGCATGCAGAGGCACCCTGATGCTTTGTGTTGGCTGCCGCCCCCTTTAACAGCAGGCATGAAGAACCTCCAGGAACAGGTTTACACACCCTGGCAGCTTCTCTATGGTGGGTGCAATAGGACTTAAGTGCCAACTTTTAATTTTCATATGATGGCATATGTGGGAAATGAAGACACAGCTTGACTCTGCCATGAGGGTGAGGACACAGTCATATAGATCATGTTGGGTTCCACTTGGTCAGTGATGTTACCAATGTAATGTTACTGTGAGATCATCATCAGAGCCACAGACCTTGGTCCCAGGAGCTAATGCTGTGGTCCTATAGCACAACTGCATGCTTAGTAAGGCTATGCACTCTACTGGTCAAAGTAATAAAGCAGTATGTTGTAAATCCTGCTTGAGTTGCTTTAATGCACTTTCCATGGGAAAAATTCTGCTTAAACTAGTTTGATAGAGAAAGCATCCTGATGCCATCTTAAGATGTTTGTTGGGTCACTAGTTTATACAGTGTTTAACAACAAGCATTGCTGGACATGGCAGAGCACAGAAGTTTGGGTGAGTTGCTTCTACTTTCATACCTAATTTATAACATTTCTTCCATTCCTCCCGACACCATCACCGCCCCCCCCCCCCCCAACACACACACACAATTACAGAGGGTGCTGAGGTTTACTGGTTTCATTTTAACATGAACATGGAGTAAGACAAGGGAAGAGGTGAATAAGAGGAGTCTATTCACTGCCTGACTTGTAGAATCAAATAAAGAAACGCTGAAAGCCCTCAAAGAAACTCTGAAAGCCCTATGTCCTCAACCAATGCTATTAATTAATAAGCATAGCACTGCCAGCTCACATGGCAAGTTGCTCACTTTTGTCCCTTTTCACATAGTATGGAAAATAACCATTTGGCCTAATACCCCAAAGCCATAGCTTAGCAAATGGCTCTGCCACATGACCCATTCAGACAAACAGTTGAAGCAATTTTACCAGCTTGTATGAAACTTGGTCTGGGAATTCAACACTCCTTAAAGGCTTTTTCTTTCTCGAGTCTCATTATTTTGCAATTTTCAGTTTACCCTAAGGGTTACAGCAGATTCATGGCCTTACTATGGATGGCTTCTTTAAAGAAGTGTATGATGGGATATTATTACAATCAGGAGCAAAACCTAAACAGAGACCTCTTCTAGCCAGTTATTCCTCTTAAAAAATTAGACTGTACAAAATACCAATGTTTGGAAAGATTCTGTTTTCTCTGAATCCCCAAGTGTTGCTCAGAAAATAAAATCAATGATTCCTATTGCTATGAAAATCTATTTTTGCAACTGGTGGCAATCCCAAGCTTTAGCAATCACAGATACTATCATCATCATCACCTTGTTCAACATTTTCAGTGTAGGCTAGCAGCCCAGTCAAGTAACACAGCAGTAATCTCTTTCACTGAGTTCACTTTTATTCACAAGGCAAAAATTGGAGTTAGACTTTTAGGTTGTGGGCAAGGCACTCGCAAAGTGAGCAAATTGGCTTCTGCTCACAGAACTAATTTAATGTTTAAGTGCAACAAAAACACTAAACTAGCCTTGAAGAATGGATTCATGCACATCCAACAGGATTCACTAGACATGATCATGACCCAGGCCTCAATACAAGAATACTGCAAAAACTTTACTATTTTTTCTTCTTCACCTGACAATGCTTCATGTTTTGATTTCTCATAGAAATGTTGTTTCCCATTCTATTACTTTAAGTGCTTATTAAAATACTGTGTAGTTTTATTTAAGATCTGCTAGATGCTTCTCTTTCAGTAATAAAATATGGAGTATTCTCTCTCAATGATATTCAGTTCGCAGAACTCAAAGGAAACACATTCATGCTTAAAATAAACATATCAATGTACAGCACTGGGTCCAAAATATGTCTTCAATAAAACCCAGGGCTGTATTGGGAAACTGTACATTGATCCACAACTCACTTCTTTAGCTAAGAACCCTTTTATCCAGGTGCTGCTTTTTTCAACCTCTGGCAGTGAGCGGAATACAAACCTGGATTTTCCAGTTCTAGAGCAAATCTACTGGGCGGAGCACATTTGTAACCGTCCATCTCTCTGACAGACTCTCTAACCATTTGTCTTCCAGAGACAGACTACTCTGTGTCTTGGATCAGCACCATTTCTTAAGCATGCAGGGCACTTAAGAGTGTCGCATTCCAATCCTGGGTCTTTCATGCCTATTAATTCATGCAGCGTCCTTTTTGCAAAGTCTCCATGTATCCCTCAATGAGGCATATGCACACATTTCCAGACAAATAAGCTGTATTTTCAAAAAAGAAGTTAAGCAAGAGATAAAAAAAAAAAAAAAGCCAGGTTAGCATATTTATAAGATAAACCTCTATTAACACTATTATCCAGTAAATTTTAAAAAATGATTTCAAACATTATTAGCACTTGCAGAAGTGGTTTAACTTTCTATTCTGCTGAATGTTAAGCAGCTCATACTAGTGGTTGTGCTCTTAAATAGGAAGAAAACACATGCTGTGAACCTGTGACTACTCCTGTACAATCATCAAGAACGAGCTTAGAGCTTTAAATGACAGATACTGGACTTAATATTACCTCTTCATTATTAAAAACTGTTTATACTAAATCCCAAATTACTTTGGCAGAACAATGGAAAGCCATACATACCTGCAATCATCCCCACCAGCACTGACAACATATCTATCCCCGCTTGTAAATCGAATATTAGTCAAATGGGCTGAGTGACCTAAAAATCGTTTGTGTTTTGCCTAAAACAAAGAACAAATGTAAAGCCATGAATACTCTTCTTTTGTTTACAAGATGCATACAGAAATATGCCTTTGTTCCTATCTATATAGATAGCACTGTATCCCCAGGCTCCTAAATGTTCTATAGGCTCCTAGTTTCAGGAGTTATTTCATGAAAAACAACCACCATTGGGGTATAATGCAGCAGCTATTAAATTGTCTCTAAATACTTGTGTGCATGTGCGAGGGAAAGAAACAATCTTATCATCTATCTTTAGTGCTCCATTGATTTGAAATCTTGTGCTATTATACAAGATCTTTGGAAAGAACAAGAACTATTGTACAAGGTTTTCGAAAAACCTGAAAAGCAAATATACTCAGGAGACTACAGAGGTAATATCAAATGGGTACATTTAAAACCTACAAATTAGAGAAGAAAGCATTATCATCAACCCTTCCCCTAGAGAAACTCTAAGGAAATCACAGTATCATAAGCACTGTTTTTTTGCATTGACACAAATTAAAGGTTCTTACAAACTTTTCAGGACATGGAAAGTCGAACAGTTTGACCATGCCAAAATCATCGCCTGTTACAAGGTTGATTCCCGAGTGAGAAACACAGGCACAATTTACATCAGCTTTCTCAGCATGCCTGGACCAGATTCCAACTACTTCATCCCCTAGAACGCTGAAAGAGAAGAGCAAGAGGGTCCCTTGGAAACTGTTGCATTGTAGAAAAAGAAATACAAACAGATCTATTAGTTTGTGATTATGATCCAGTGTTAATTTAAAATGATGAGAGAGACAGATGCATAATATAGCTAATGCAAAAACTTAAGTAGGGTGTGAAACTAATAGCGTTAAAATTGATCAATGAGAGAATTTATTTTTCTGTCTTGGCAATTACATGAGGTGCCTTAGCACAGTAAAGTAGCTGAATGAAGATGATACAATTAGAACTGGTTGAAATAAGTTTAGTGATGTTTTCAATAGCAAGGTTCCTGAAGTCCAGTGTGGACTCCTTCATTAATTCCAGCAAGAAAAAGATAGACTCAAACTGAAAATCTGACCTCTCTTTCCAACAGCAGATGTCTTAACAAAAACCTGTTATGAAAAATCCTTTGAAAAGATTGGTTTTCATTCTGTATGGAATTGATGCTCTCTAGCCAGCTCTAATCACATTGTACATGTACACTTCCCAAAATGGACTTAAACCAAGCATTTCATTCTTTATAGGTGAAGCCCTGAAAATTTGAGATGGATGCCAAAAACTGTTCTGGTATGTTTTCCCCATTCAGGCTACTGCACAATACCTTGTAAAAGATAGTTATGATGGCTAGGGACAGAAGCTACACAAAAACTGGCTTAAGTGATCAGAAACTGGTTTAAACCTGTAACAGAACATAAGTTCAGTGCACACAAACCAGCTTGAAAATGGCTGAAACTGGTTTAAGATAAACCTGGTTGAATATAGTATCAGACTTAACTGATTTGGGTCAAACTGGTTTATGCAACTTCTGTCCCAGATTCCTTCCTGGTTTAAGTTAAATCAGAGTCCCCCAGCATTCCAGCATGCTTTTCAGCCCTGGGCTGGAATGTCTGCTCCAGAGAGTGAGGCTGGCCCCACCCCTCTCCTCCCTAGCCCGAGCACACTGCTCCTGGCCACCTGAGAAGGAGGTGGAGAGTTCAGACACAGCAATATCTGCCTCGTTTTCCCCTGCCCCACCCTCCCCTTGCTGCTCAAGCAGGGATCCCCTCATCCCCTTCCCCTCTCCCACAGCACGGACTCCAGCCACACAGACCCTAGCCAGCATCTGGTCACGGTCACGCCACACCCATACTAGCTAATGCTGAGTGGTGTCTGTGTGTGCATCTCCAAATTCACTGGGACAAAGACAAACAGAACGGTGTCTGCTTAGGGCTTTTTGGAGCTAATCAACAGGTAAGCTGGTTATGTCCTTCTGTCCCTTCCTTGGAAAAAACTGTTTAATAAGAGCTTGAACTAATGAAAGAGACTTTTGTTTTCTTGATGGGCTGATAAACTTTGTGTTATCAGCTCCCTGCTGGCTTGCTTGCAGTTTGCTGTAGCAAGTATGAAGAAGCAGGGAGAGGGAGATTGAAAACTTCAGTATCATCAACAGATGCATGCAGTCCACATAAGCAGTCCAGCTAACTGGGGGCTGGAAACACTCCCTGCTCCTTAAACAGTGAGCCAGGAAAAGCTTGATGATGGCTGCTTCCCCCTCCCCATCCAGGAACATCTTGTCTGGGGACTGTGCAGATAGGGTGGGGTTTTAAACCCGTCCCTAATTATAGTGTCCTGTCGGTGTCTGACAACCTCCCCTCCCTCATCTCAGCACTGAAGAAGGGAAGGGAGGGATGTTCTAGAGTCCTTCTGGCTTATAGCCTAAGCCACTGCAGGCATGTATCTGCATTTCTTGATTAAAAGTGAATGTCTATCCACTTGCAAATTGGTTCAATCTCTGTATGTTAGACTAACCTGCAAAAATTGAATCAATTTAGGTTAAGGCTTTTTGAATATCTGTCCCTAGCTGATATGTTTAGGCCTGTCTGTGTTTCTCTAACGCATGAAAGAACAAAGGAATATATAGTTATGTTAATCAATAGAATATTAAATCATAACATGGAGAGGTTAAAAATGGCTCAGGATCTAATGACTTGAAAACTCTCAAATTCTGTCCAACACTACCCCAAGTGTGATGAGAACTCATAGTCCCCTTCATTTGGTTTAAAGAGGAATGCTGGCAGCGGACTGACTCCCATTATGGTGCAACGTAGTTGAATGTGCCAGCCTTCAGGACATACAAGAACCCCAGCTTTTGTTCTGGGAGAGAAGGATATGGGTTGGCAATTTTTGGATTTTTCACTTACTAACTGTTAATGCATGGATGCATGTATATGACTAGACTTACTATTCTGCATGGATTGTGATTTTAAATGCTTCACAAAGTGACCCGAAATTGGTAAGTGAGTTCAGATTTGTTTAAAAATAAAATAAATAACTGCAATAAAAATATCCCCAAAATCTTGGGAAAAGATTCCAAACTTAATAATCTATTATTTTACGTAGAGATATTATCAGTTCTTAAAATGTTTCCTATATTTTTTAACAGACCAAAATGTTTCACCATTTTAACAATAGAAATCATAGTTGTTCCATAAAGTCTATAGATAGCAATACTTGTGTGTACTTTAGTCCTGTCCACTATGGACTCTAGTATAGGCTACATAAAACTTGAATTGCTAGAGCCCTGTATTCTATTACATAGCTTATATTTGATGCAATTTCAAGGTTTTATCTGTCCTTGAATCCTGCTCTATGTCACAGTTACTACTACAACATATTTCAATTAACTGGGAGAGCAGGATGCATTTGACCTTTCAGATTGCCATAGAAAGATCCAGAAGGCACTCTTCTGTCAGAACCTATATACATCTGATATCCTGATTTGACTAAGTGCCAACAATATCCAGTGTCATTATACTATGTCCATGTACTATGCTATTATTCTGTTGCCAGAAGACAGGTATTTAAAAAGCACACTTGATTAAACATAAGTGTTCCAGTATCCTTTATGCATATAAGTTTTCTTTCTTGGTGGAAAAGAAATGGCCTCTTTAGCAGCAAGTATGAAACTGTGAATTATGTACCTGGTCCAAGTAGCCCATGTTATTCTGTCAATCACAGCCTGGTCTGTAAGCTGTTTTCCTGAAGGCACTTCATAGACCTGCCTTTTGTAAGACCCAGTAGAAACCTTGGAGTATGAACACAGATAATAGTTTGAGTTATAATACTGGAAGTGATTTCAAGTGGGAAAGATATCACTACACTATCAGTCTGAATCTAGGAGACACTGAAATGGACACTCCCTTGAAAAAAAAAATCCAGTAAGGTATCCTGTGCAATGATCTGATACCTCTCAAAAATGTTTATATGCAGAATACAAAAAAGGAAAGCTATCTGAAAAATGTCTAAAAATTAATACGCAAGTGAAATATATGGAAAGTCCTTTACATATACAGCACTCAAAATGAAACTCTCATACTATTCCTCCTCTCTAATGGTGGCACAGCAGGGAAAAGAGAATGTGGCTGGGGCATTCATACTCCAGCCTGAGACCAAGGCATATTCTTGGACTACTGAAGCCATCTGCAGCCCCCTGGCTGGGTTTATAACCTATCAAGGGTGGGGGGGGCAGGGGAAGTGGAGAGGCTGTATGTACACAACAGCAGTGCTCAAGGTTTTGGCTCCATGGGCCAAATGATTGGTGCACAGCTGGTCCATGGGCCAAATTGGGCCCTGCTAGCTCTGCATCCCAAGATTGGGTTCCAGGGCCCTGTGCTGCCCCCATGTGCCAGGATCAGGACCTAAGGGCCTGCACTGTCCTGTGTGTCCCATCTAGCACACAGGGTCATCGGCCACAGGACTCCCCATGGACCCATGGGTACCCTGATGCCAAGAAGAAATGGTGCTGGGGGCCAGATTTGGCCTATGGGCCAAGGGTTGAGCACCTCTGATATAGAACAGTGGAGCCACAACAGTCTAGTTTGAGTGCTGATCAGAGAATGCTTGTACCGACAGGCCACCTACTCCATTGTTATGGTCAGGAATCTGCTGGGCATGGCATGACTTCCCGATAATCTTTGGATGTAAGGCAGTATTTTTTTTCCCTTTTTCAAAAGGTTGCACACCCAACCACATTAAGAAAAATATATAGCAGGGAAAGAATGACTGCTGTCTCATGGTAATTCTGGAATATATTTCTCCTTCCTGTATTTGTTTCTCACATTTAGATACTTATGAGGCGAAACAACTCATTTTTTATTTTTATCTGAGCTCTACATAGCCTGTAACAAAAATAACACCCCATTTAGGACAGTTATCAATTTTAACTATGAAAGGCCTGAATTTAGACACCTCAGGTAGCTGCTGATCAGGACTGAGATACAAAGGGTAGAGCTTCGTAAGACATCTTGTACACAGCATCTGTCACTAACATATTTGGGCAAGTAAATATTAGCAGACTGACACTTTCATCAGCAACACATTCACTGACAAAATGTAAATGTATATTTATGATATACACAATTATCTCAAAATATATACAATGTAAAGAGTGATCTCAAATGACAAGTACCTGGAGATAGCAGCTATCTGCAGAGAAGTCCATCTGGATCACAAAGCTTGGGATATCTTTGCAATAGCTGACTCGATTTAGTGTGGGACCCAAGGTTAAGTCATAAAAATCTACGGCATTCTCACTAGAACCCACTGCTAAATAACGAGAATCTGGACTAAACCTGAATAGAGAAATGATTTAAGATATGTTAAAATCCATAAGAAGCAGCAAATAAGAATCTCTAAGCAATTTTCATTGCCATCCTTTGACATCAAGTTTCATGGCGTTACAAAAGGGATCAAGGTCTTATTCAGAGGGGTAAAAGACATGAAGCAATGTGTATCTGAGGCCACTTTCTCCACCAATATGATTATTAAATAGTAAGAAAAGATATTTAAAGGAGCAAATGTTGTGACGTTGCTGTCTGTGGTTTAATCTTGCTCGACTCTATGGGCGTGTCCAGATGAGCTCACATGTCCCTCTTGCAGCCTGTGAAACCACTTTGAGATGCTGCAAGAGGCACGTGCAGGAACAGGAAAAGGTTCTGCCCGCTGCAAGTTTGCAGCGCGAGGGCAAAATTAGACTCTTGGATATCCAGGGGTCTAAAAAAACAGAGTTAAAAAAAGCTGGGCAGGGCACGGTCCCAGACCCTGCCCTGAGGCAACCGGAGCCCAGGTCCTCCACAGACACTCTGGCTGCCAGACCATCTCTGTAGTTGGCCCTCACCCTGGTGCTGAAGCATGATGCCTGCCCATGTAGGGCAGGCAGCATGCCAGCAGCAGGGCTCCAGTGCCGGTAAGTAAGGGGTCAGGGGGACTGAAGGAGGGGGTAGGGGACTATGGGGGGATCCCCACTGGCCCCGCCCACTCCCCCAGCCCCCCCCA